GGAAGCCTCGGGCAGCTTTCGAGCGGGGAGGGGGTTTAAACCGGAAGTGGCTCGACACCGCAGGAGCGATCAGACGTCAGAAAAGTGTGGCTAGAACCAGAGAATCAGGAAAACACCACTTTGGGACCTGGTATCAAAATACTCCGGGTTAAAGTGGTTTTGAGCCGGAAAGTGACGGCTGGGGACGGGAGGCAGATGTTGACTGTGTGATCGCGCAAATAAAATCCGTTGCTGAAGCGTGACGACGACCAGATCAAACGGCGCGTCTGACCGCACCCAATGTCTCCCAAACTGTCCCCAAACACTTCCTCTTGGTTCACGGATACCAAATGATAGTGGATTTTAAATATTTAATTTCAGTTTTTCGCTAACTGTGATTTCTATTTGACGTTGGATAGCCAACACACAACAGCATTTAATATGTGGCAGGTGACAGGCAGTAGCATCTTGTCTCGAGGGCCCTTCGGAAATTTCATACTGGATTCCTTCCAAAGAATCAAAAATATTAATGTATTTTTATCGTAAAATGTTGTGAAATCTCTACTAGCAACAAATCTACAATATTAGCTCTTATCGGACCTTCTTGCAAGCAAGTGCAAAACTCAATTCCTGATACCGAAAACAGAGAGAGAGAGAAAGAAGCTAGAAAGTAGAACGCTGAAAGAAACTGCGTCACACGAGTCCTGTGTTAGCCCGAGATGCCAAACCTCATTTCACTAATGACCCAAACCAGATTTGATCTCTTGACCCCCAGAGGTGAGTGGCAAAATCCACAAAATACCTTCTATAACTTCCGCTCCCATCTGAATTCAGACACACAAAAAGGGGATATCTTTTGCAATATGACCAGTTTGGGAGGCAGTTTGAAGAAGATGCAGCACAATTCTGATTCCTTTCTGATTCCAGATGGGGGATAAATTCCCTGGGCTTTGGGCTACTGGGGTCATGAGAGGCCACCTACAACACTTTGCGTTCGTTTCCCAACAAGCAGAAACCCAGCCTTCCTTTCGGCTACCTCCTCTGGCAGGTGGGGGCCCCACACAGCGGCATGCCTCCAAGAGAACAAGTGCACACTAAAGCATCTAAAAAAGACAGACCCATCCTAAAGCAACCGCTGCAGGACACCTGTGCGCCAAGGTGCTGTCCCCAGGGTATTTCCTCCTTACCAGCCACAGATAAGGCCTCAAGATGGGTGAAGCTGCTAAGACCTGGGGCACACAGGCCAATCGATCACAGATCGATTCAGCGATCGGGTCAACCTTTAGAACAGTCCTACCACAACCAAGGAGGGAATCGGTTTTCTGGACAACGCACAAAGAAAACTCAAAGCAAGCACTGTAGTTTCCCAGCTCCCTATCTTGAGACAAACTAATTAACGTATGGCAGTGGATGTAGTATAGCCAGGAGATCCGAAGATCGCCTGGCAGCCTGAAACTCTAGCTCTTTTTGTGGTGAGCTGGGTTTATCTTTGGGGCTGAGAGAACTGTGACTGACCCCAGGTCACCCTGCTGGCTTCAAGTGGAGGAGCGGGAAATCGAACCCAGATCTTCAGATTCGAGTCCGCCGCTCTGAACCACTACACCAAACTGGCTCTCTTCAGATAGCTCGCTCACCACATAATCCTGGGACACCTGTCACGGACCCTGGGAACACAGCACAGGACTTGGGGGTAGAGATGTGAAGGCCCGGGAAAAAAAAACGGAAAAATTGATTATGGAACGTTTTATTTTAACATGATGAATAAAATATTTTAAGACAAGGTGTTCAAATATTTTCCAAATCATTTCTAAAATATATATATATGGTATCAGATTGATCTAATTTCTGTGCACTGAGGACAAGCAAGCTGTAGGTTACAAACTGAACTCTCCAATGCAAGAACAAGATGCATTTCTTCCTTTAGGAGGTGCTATTGTCAGAAGACAATAAAAAGGTTTCAGTTTTGTTTTTGCATGTGGGTGGGTATTCTGTTTGTAATAATTGTTTGGATACACTATATTTTTAATATGCTAGTTGTGATAATTTCATGCCAAGTAAAAATGTCCATAGTCATATTTTATGTTCCTAAAGTAACAGAATGACTTTCAATCTAGAAAAGACAAAAGAAATGCTAATGTAGCATTTTTTTCAATTTTTCCAAAAAAATCCGGGTTTTTTTCGGGAAAAAACTGGAAAAAACCCGGGTTTTTTTCCCGAGCTTCAAAATTTCTGGAAATTTTACATCTCTACTTGTGTGTGTGTGTGTGTGTGTGTGTGTTAAGACCTACAATCTGTTGCCGCAGGCTTCTACCCTGGCCCGTTGCATCTCCCCATCTCCCCTTGTGAACTAAGAGCGCCCCTCTAAAACACAACTGACGCTTCCCAGTAGCTGTCAACTGCTTATGAAGTTCAGCTACTCAGAGACAGCTGTCCACCATCACTGAGTTTGCTGCTAGGGAAACAACTGTAAGTCCCCAGTTCCGCAAGCCCAGTAGGAAACCTAACAGGAAAACCTGGTAAGAATTAACAGCATTTCAGAGACATCAGCTTGTCTATTCTGCATGCATGTCTACACGGAGAGAGACAGCGAAACGGTGCCGCTTACCTCAGTGGAGCCGGACTCGTTGCTGGTAAAGGCATTGCCGGGTTTACTCCAGGAATCGGTGCCCGGCGATTGAACCGAGAGAGCTGCTGGAAGAGCACAGAGTTAAGATGCGCTCAGAAGACATGCTAAACCATGGCTTGATCCAACCCTGGTGAAGTGGAGTCATTAACTACCAGTGGTCCAACACAACCCAGAATGGTCCACTGGCACAAAAACCAGGATTTCACACCAGGATTTGTGTGACTTGCCTGAATTGTGACTGATTCCGTTGTCTGAATTCACAAACTAGTGCAGTCTCTCAAGCCAGGGTTTTAAAATGTAATTTTAAAGTTTAACGTGATTTTATCATGTATGTTTTAAATTGTGAGCTGCCTTGGTAGCCCTTGTAAGGGCAGAATGGCGGGGTGTAAATTTTGTAAATAATACTAACTAGCAGTAAAGCCCATTGTAAAAGCAATACAACAAGATCTAGAAAGATGTGATGTGTAACGAATGCATTGGCTGGAAGCAGGTTAAGTACATATTAGCAGTATGTAATAGAAAGGCACAAATGTGGAAGTAAAGTCTCACATACCCTATGTTACACAATAGCTGGTGTCGAAGGTCATACAATGTGGGCCAAAAAATGCAGCACACAGGGCTCTGTGAAGTAATTTCTGCAATTGGGCAGTATGCAAATGTATTTCTGCCTGTGACTGTGTCTGTATTTCTGCTTTGCAGCATGCCTCGGGTCTTTGGTTTCCTGTTTTCTGTGTGTCTGGTCCCATCCTCTATCTCTGCTTGTGTGCGTATCCACTGGCTTTTTTGTAATAACTTGGGCTGGTCCCCCCGCCTCAACTATGCTGACAGCTGTTTACTTGGTGGGATTTTTTTCCATGGTGGAAAGTGTTGCCTCAGCAAACTTGGCTTGGAGGCTAAAGACAGTGGGTTTTGTCCCCTGAGGGAATCAATCGTTGTCCGGCGAGGAGAGTGAAGGCAGCAGCTGTGTTTGCCGGAGAGAAGCAACCGTCTTCTGAGGAAAGTTTTGGTGGGCGCCGCTTCTGTGGGCGGGACCTCAGGCAATGCAGCCAGTGGACAGGGACAGCTTCTGAGGGACACATCATGGAGCCAACTGATTTAGGGGCGTGTGGAATGTTCAGAAAGTGCCACCTCACTACTCAATTATATATAAGGAGAGATAAAGCTGCTGTATACGGAAGATGCCCTGACCTGGACGGCCCCGGCTAGCTCAATCTCATTAGATCTCAGCTGCTAAGCAGGGTCGGCCCTGGTTAGCATTTGGATGGGAGACCTCCAAGGAAGACCCGGGTGACGATGTGGAGGCATCTCCAGTTAAAAGGACCAAGCAGTAGGTGACGTGAACCTCCCTGACCTCAGAACTTGGGAGAGCTGCTGCTAGTCTGAATAGACAATACTGACCCTGAGAGACCAATGGTCTGCTTCAGTGTAATGCAGCTTCATGTGCGTTTAAATGTGTAAACCTGGACCGCAGGGAATTTGGCCCCCAATACCCACACTGGATCCAATCATATAGTGTTGCAAAGCCCACTGAGTTGCCCCCCTATGTTGGCTGCTGAAAAGTCACCAGAATAATGTATTTTAGGGAAACAGGGTTATTACCTAGACTTATTAATTCATTCACGTCTATATTGTCTTTAATACTTGTTTTAAAAGTGCCTTATGTTTATTTTTCTTTCCCCCTTACACCCCAGAACTACTTGCTTTAGTTTCCAGAAGCTGTAAAGGCTAGAAACTTATCTCTTTTTTAAAGTAAAAAAAAGAAGAAGAAAGAAAGCTATGATACGCTGAGGTGCTAAAAAATGCTGTGCCTGAAGCATACAGACTATAGATTCCAGACCCATCCAGCTTACCTGGGCTGTTGGTTTCCCAGATTTCTGTGCCCAGGCTGTTTCCAGACACCGAAACATCACCTTGCTCGAGGCACATGCTGTTCTGCTTCTTGGCAAAGCGAGGGGGCATCCGAGACTGGAGGACACGGCCCTTGGCTGGAACCTGGGGAAGAAAAACACAGGTCTGTGGGATTCCCATGGTCTGCAAAGGTTTTGAACACAGTCTCATGATTTACATCAGAGATGCTGGAAGGCCATCTAAAGGGGAGGCTTGGCAAAGACAGGCCAATGCCAGGATCTAAGACTGGCATAGGGCCCAATTTGCACAGAACACACAAGAGGCAAGAGGGCGCGTTTGGGCCAGTCACACGCTCTCTGCCTAGCCAACCTCACAGGGTTGTTATGAAGATAAAATAAAGGAGGAAAGAACCATGTTAAGTTACACTCAACTCCTTGACAATGTGATAGAAAGATAGACTAAGTAAAGCCCTCCCCACCCAAACGAAAGACTGAGCTCTACTGCCTAGCCAGTCATTCTCCTTTTTGAGAATCACAGAATGAAGTTGGAAGGGACCTCCAGGGCCATTTAGTCCAACCTCCTGGACAATGCAGGAAATTCACAAACACCTCCCCCCCCCACCCCCAGTGACCCCTGCTGTATGCTCAGAAGAGGCCAAAAAAACACTTCCAGGATCCCTGGCCAGATTGGCCTGGAGAAAAATGTTTTCCTGACCCCAAAGTGGTGATCGGCATTTCCCTGGGCGTGTAAGAAAGGGCCACGAGAACTAAGCACTGAGGCAACCCTTCCTGCCCTCCCTTCTCACGATCTGCCTACATTCACAGAATCTGTTTGAAAACCTCCAGAGAAGGAGAGCCCACCACCTCCCGAGGAAGCCTGTCCCACTGAGGAACCGCTCTGACTGTCAGGAAGTTCTTCCTAATGTTTAGCCAAAAATTTTTTTTTTCACGGCTGTTTCAGTTTTTGTGTTTTATTTTAAAATTTCAGCCGGCCTCTTTTATCCAACAAATTTCTGGCCACTGTGTGATACAGAGTGTTGGACTGGATGGGCCTTTGGCCTGATCCAACATTGGCATCTCTTATGTTCTTATGTTCTTAAATAATTCATTTATATTCTGTGTCCTTTGAGAGCATTCGATGAAGCTGATATGCAGTAGATGCATGACGGACAAAAGAAAAATACTTCCTTACAGAACGAACGATTGAAATGTGGGAATTCACTGCCAGAGGATGCAGGGAAGGCCACAGGCACAGACAGATTTAACAGGGGACGAGAAAGATTCATGGAGGACAGGTCCATCAGTGGCTCCGAGCCATGGTGACTAAAGAGAACCTCCATATTCAGAGGCAGTCTATCTCTGAATCCTAGTACCAGGAGGCAACATCAGGGCGAGACCTTGGCCTCTAAGCCCTGTTGTTGGGCCTCCAGAGAAACTGGCTGGCCACTGTGTAAAGCAGGATACTGGACTAAGGCGGACCACTGATCTGATCCAGCAGGGCTCTTCCACTGTTCAGAGAGGTTTACGTTTCAAAAATCTGCTCTGAGCCCACAGGATTAGAGCCAGGCATAAACTCTCTCACACACAGCCAAGGGGAAAGGGTGGTGGTTTGGGGAAAGTGTCCACATACACACTTGTGTTCCATTCTTCATCCTCTTGAGGACCACGTGATAAAACAGCCTCAGTGTTCCCTGGAACTCAGCTTGAAAACGGCTGGCCGAGCATACACCCAGATCTCCTGGGGAAACTGCCTGGGCGCCCCCGACAGCATTCCGGCCCCCCGCTCCTCACCTGGGCAGCCTGCTCCTTCTTCCTCCGCTCCTCCTCCAGCAGCCGCCGCTGCTTCTTTGTCAGGACTTCGATGAAGCCTTCCCCGCCCATCGGGCCCACTTCGCTCTCCTCAGCGGGCCCCGAAAGACGGCTGTCCAGGATGCCATCTGAACAGAAAGGAAAGGATACTTCAGTTTCCTCACTTCTCTTGGCTTCTGTCTTTGGGGCTTGACCATAGCCAAGCAAAAACCCTTCCCACACACAAAAAAAGATCATCAAATAAAAATAAAAAAACGCATAGATACATATCTCCCCCTCTGCACACACACACACACACACGGGCTATGAAAAATATCATGGTTGGGTCCAACGCTCCCTCTCAGCTGTGGAGTCTTGTGAGCAAAAATTCTAGTTTGTGAGCTGCTGGCATGAAAGTTGTGAGGGAGAGATTTGGCTGCTGCGTCAGTCAGTGTGCTCTGGAGCCATCCTTCCTGAGCTCAGACAAAAAGGTGTGAGCCGGAGGCTAAAAAACTGTCAGCTAGCTCACACTTACTCTGCTTAGGCAAGATATAGATTCCAAGGGATTCCCTATCCTAGCAGGTGCTGTCCTTGTAGGAAGGATTGTGTTGAAACTGTTGCCCATTTCAAAACTAATAACCTAATAATCCGGTTACAATCATTTAAGATATACTCTAGATGGTACCTGACTCCAAATCGGTTATTTTTGTGTAAATTTAAAAGTAACCCTAATTGTTGGAAAGGGTGTGGACAAAAAGGTAGTTTCCTGCATTGTTGGTGGAATTGTCCAAAAATTTTAAACTTCTGGGACTTGATTTTGCAAGAAATAAATAAAATAACAGGCTATGTTCTCCCAAACTCGCCGGAATCTGTATTGCTCAACTATTGGCCACAACAAAAATTCACTAAACAAAATATAGAAGTTCTCTCAATATTTCTATCAGCAGCAAAATCATTGATAGCGAAAAAATGGAATCAAGAAGGAATACCAACAATGCAGGAATGGTATTCTAAACTGTGGGACTTAATAGTAACAGATAAAATAGCAACACAACTACTGGTAGCTCAGGCTCAACTAAAAAACATTAACTTTGTGGAAAAATGGTTTGTATGTTTTGATTATATTTCTAACTATGCTACAGGGATACCACAAATGCCAGAAAAGTATAAAAGCATTGCTCTTTATTGAATTTATAGTGTCATAAACATTCTTTTTATGGAAAGTGGATTCACACTGTTATAATATGGTTTTTTATAAGAATTGCAGTTGTGTAAGAAATAAGCATAAATGTATTGAAGTTTAAAGTTATATTTTATAATTTTTATTTCTTTTCTATGTTTGATTGTTATATGGTTAATAAACAATAAAAAAAGTTTAAAAAAGAAAAAGAAACTGTTGCCCGTGTTCTCTTCCAGTGCCCTCTCTATTTGGCGTCCCGTCGGGATCTTCTATATCCCATATTAGGCCATTTTTTAGAGTCCCCTGATGATTTTAGGGTTCTTTTCTTGCTCGATAACACAGACACAGAAATAACCGAAATAACAGCAAAGTTTCTCTGCAGTGCCATGGCCCTACAGCCTGATAAATGTTATGATGAATTAGGTTCTTCTTTATGATGATACGCTGTGATGTTACTCGGCAATTTTAATTTGACTCTGTGTGTACTTAGATTACTGTATTTTTATTTATATGCCAATAAAAGGCTTTGGATTGAGATTGACTCTGCTTAGAGGGAACACTGGTTGGGTCTAGTAAGTCCTCAGCAGAGGACCAAGACGCCAGGATGGCTGAACCCACAGAGGTTGAAACCAAGGCTCCCTCTAGGCTGCGGAGGGGTTTTGTGAGCAAAAATTCTTCTTTGTGAGCTGCTGGCATTAAAGTTGCGAGTCGGCTATTTGCCTACCGCATAAATTCATTTGCTCCGGAGCCATCCTTCCTGAGCGGAGACAAATATGTGTGAGCAGGGGGCCAAAGGACTGTGAGCTTGCTCACACTAACTCGGCTTAGAGGGAACACTGGCTTAGAGGGAACCCTCGGCTTAGAGGGAACCCTGGCAGACCCTGCAGTTCCTGGGCCCTTCAGCTCCCACGGGGGATCAGAGAAAATGCAGCCAGCCATACCTGTCAACCCAGACGCCTGGACAGCCCACGAGCAAAGCTGCAGTCAGAGACCAGGGCTGCTGAGGAAGCCACTGAGGAGATCCTCCTATTATCAAGGACCCCACGGTCACCCCTAGATCCTCAGGAGCAGAGAAGGTGGAAATCCCAGAAGTTTATCTCAGACGGTGGAATAAACGGCTGCCCACCCCAAGGCCTCTCCTCTGGGGAGGGAACATTTCTAATTTTCCGTGGACTGATTCTTCGTCCCGGGAGCACTCGAAGGAGACTCCTCGGCAGACTTACTTCCGTAGCTCAGCTCAAACTGAGAGATGGCCTCTCCCTTCTCGCCAGCTTGCTGCGTGGCAGATTTCTGTTCTCTCTCCGGCTTCTCCCCCAGCCCTTCGGCGCTGTTCAAGGTGGCAGGGGAGCCGTAGACCAAATGGCTGCTGCCGGGGCCGCCGGGGTCCAGGCCTCCTCCTTCTTCCGGAGATCTAGAGAAGACACAGACGTGAGCACCTGACACGGCATTCCACTGAAACAGACCCTTGGTCCATCCAAGCCCGCTGGCCCAGTCTCCCCTCCACCACACAAACTCACGGCCGGAGGCAAGACAGTGTATCTCTCCGTTGCCTCAACTCCTCATCTGACTTAACACTGCCCGACCTTACAGGTTTGCTGCTAGGATTACTGGCAATGTTCCCTTTAAGCTGTGGAGTCCCGTGAGCAAAAATTCTACTTTGTGAGCTTCTGGCATTAAAGTTGTGAGCGAGCTATTTGGCTGCTGCATAAATCAGTTTGCTCTGGAGCCATCTTTCCTGAGCTAAGACAAAAACGTGTGAGCCGGAGGCTAAAAACCTGTGAGCTCACTCACACTAACTCAGCTTAGAGGGAACACTGATTACTGGCACAGAGTTTTATGCATGCACACGATGCCACACTACCCTAGAAGAATCACATTTTTAAATCGATTTTTAAATTACTGAAGCAGCTGGCATGGGTCACACCACGCTTGATGCTAATCCAGCTCACCTTTCACAAAAGAGGCGGAGGCGGAAGAGGTGGAGGAGGAGGAAGAGGAAGAGGAGGAAGAAAAAGAGACTTGATTCATCCCCTGCCCTGCACTCAGAGCAGCTTACAATCTCCTTTCCCTCCCTCTCCCCGCTACAGACACCCCGTGAAGTAGGTGGGGCTGAGAGAGCTCTTTCGAGAACTGCTCTGAGAGAGCTGTGACTGGCCCAAGGTCACCCAGCAGGCATCATATGGAGGGAGAGTGGGGATCAAACCTGGTTCTCCAGATTAGAGTCCGCCACTCTTAACCACTACACCACGCTGGCTCTCAAGCAAGTTTCTAGTCATCACTGGGTGGCGGGGAGGGGCTTGAAATTTCATCAGTGGTTTTCTGTAATCCAGTGTGACCTACAGTGGCTTGGGGGGGGCGAAGTATTCACCGTCACCAATGGGAATTCTATCACTCCCTGTTTCCAGCTTCCTCATCCTCTCTTGGCTCCCAGCCTCCGATTTCCTATTAGAAAAGAGTGCCAACAAGGTGGGGGGGGGGGATGAGGAGCAGTTGAGAGCCAGTCTGGTGTAGCGGTTAAGTGCACGGACTCTAATCTGGGAGAACCGGGTTTCATTCCCCCACTCCTCCGCTTGCACCTGGCTGGATGACCTTGGGCAAGCCGTAGTTCTGATAAGAGCTGTCCTTGAAAAAGAGCAGTTTCTGTCAGAGCTGTCTCAGCCCCACCTGCCTCACAGGGTGTCTGTTTTGTTTTGTTTTAAAAGCCCAAAGGCTGTAGAAGGTCGGTAGTTCAGCAGTTCGAGACCCAAGTGTGCCGCATAACAGAGTGAGCTCCCGTCTCTAACTCCAGCTCCTGCCAACCTAGCAGTTCGAAAGCAAGACATTGCAAGTACATAAATAGGTACCACTTCAATGGGAAGGTAACAGCGTTCCGTGCGCCTCGGCGTTTAGTCATGCCGGCCACATGACCACGGAAATGTCTTCGGACAGCGCTGGCTCTTCGGCTTTGAAACGGAGATGAGCACCGCAACCCTAGAGTTGGATTCGACTGGCTTTCGAGCAAGGGAACCTTTACCTTTACTTACATAACTACAAAGAAAATATTAGGAAGGGAACTACAACTAGGGATAAAGGAAAGATAACCACACTATGCTAAAACCCCAAGAGGAGGAGATCTTATCCCTGTTAGTATGATTGTTAGTACCAAAAGTGTTCATATCACAATGTCTGTTGTGGGGAGGGGAAGGGGAAGGAGTTTGTAAGCCGCTCTGAGACACCTCCGGATAGTGATGCACGGGGTATAAATCCAATCTCTTCTTCTTCTTATTCCCCAACAGTCACTGCTCACAAGACATTTTTTGTTTTACAGATGAAACCAGCTGCCATGCACCGACTGCACATCTTCCCTTCAAAATGCAAGTGAGCACTGAACACTGACCCTCAGCTCACAGGTACTTTTCGACTAGATTCGAGTCCAGTAACACCCTAGAGGCCAACAACATTTGGGGCAGGGCCGGCTCGAGGTGTTTCTGCGCCCTAGGCGAGGCTGCCTTGTGGCGCAGATGCCAACCTCCCGGTGGGGCCTGGCGACCTGGAGACCTCTGGAGCCAGCCACCCTTTTGCTGCCGCCACCACCGCCTCTCCCCCCGCCACCACCAAAGGGGGGAGGAGGGGGGGAGGCACAGCTTGGCGCCCCATCCAAGGCCCGGCGCTCTAGGCGAATGCCTACTTCGCCTAGTGGGTGAGCCGGCCCTGATTTGGGGGTATAAGCTCTGAGAGTCAAAGGTCCTTTTGATCAGATCTGACAAAGGGGAACTTTGACTCTCGAAAGCATATCGCCCGAAAACCTTGCTGGTCTCTGCGGTGCGAGTGGACTCAAATCTGGTGGTTGTACTGCAAACCAGCATGGCTACCCTCTGAAACAAAGACCGTGCTGGCCTGTCTGCAGCAGCAGAGAAGAGCAAGAGTCCAGGAGCACCTTGAAGATGAACAAAATTTGCGGCAGGGGAGGAGCTTTCGTGAGTCACGGCTCCCTTCTTCGGATACATAGTCCAGCCTTGTGAGAGTGGCAACTTGGGATGCGATCACACACAAAAAAAACAATCCGCTTCCAATCCACTTTCCAACTCAATTTTGCCAGTTCGCGCAGTAAAATCCAGTTGGAAGGTGCACTGAAAGTGGATTGTTTTGTGTGCGTGACCGCAGCCTGAGCCAGTAAAATTAGGAGGGGTGATTCCCACTGGAAGACATTTATGTGCTGTTTAGGCTTCAAGGCCAACTGCCCCCATGTTCAGTTCTTTCACTAAGTGACAGCACTCTATGCTTCTTGATTGAAGACGACACTTCAAAAGCAGCAAACACAATGCACCGAAGAAGATCCAATTTGAAACGAGCGACTGAACCGGGGCTCGTCTTTGTGGGTTTTGAAGGTGCACAACAGGTGCTTTTGAAGACTTTTCATTTGTATTGTTTGACATCCTTTATGGCAGGTGTGTCAAACATGTGGCCCAGGGGCCGGATCAGGCGCCCAGGGGGCCGGATCAGGCCCCCGGAGGGCTTCCATCAGGCCTGCTGTGGAACTGGCCATCTCCTGCTTCCAGTTCTGCTGTTGCTGCTGCTGCTGCTGCAAAATAGCTTGCGTTGCCAGACTCTCTTAATCACTCAGCCATTTCATGTTTTAACCTGGCTCCTAGGCTCAGAGCTTTGAGCATCAGATTTCTGTGGTGAATGTCAATAAATCAAAAGTAGGTTTGCCGCTTACAGATACACACTTGAACAGCATACTCAGGATTGCAACAGCACAGACATTTTGATGCAATGATTCAGAGCGAGAAGTGTCAGTGATCAGATACGGTTAAATAAGAAAAATATTGCAAGAGTGCTACCGTTTTAAACATGTTTCTATTTTAAGTTAAAAAAATCCCTCCGTGTTTGTGTGCTTTATAAAGTTTATATCTCCGCTACCTGGCATTACATTTCATGACACACATGGCCCGGCCCAACAAGGTCTTCATTTATGTGAGATCCGGCCCTCATAACAAATGAGTTCGACACCCCTGCTTTATGGTTATTTGTGAGCAATTCGTACATGACTTGTTTGTGCCTCATTTTGTATACAACATTAAGGTGGTATTTATTATTCTGAGATGGTGTACTTTAATAATTATTTAACATCACCATTTTCATTCTTTAATTTCCCCCCCAAAATTTATTTCTTAATACATAATATTAGACAACACTGTAACAATTATTTAGACTTTATATACGGGCTTTATATAGCGTGTGCTGGTGGTTTTTGCTTTTGACTTGCACTTATTCAGATACTTCAGATCTGAAGAAGTGAGCAGTGACTCACAAAAGCTCTTACCCGGCCACAAATGCTGTTAGTCTTGCTCTTCTCTGAAACTAAGGGACTTTTCAGTGATTGCAACTTTTACAAGTTACTTTTATAACGGACGCAAGATGCTTGCAAGTTGATCCTGGGAATCAGCCCCTGGTATAAACTGCCCATGATTTGTTATGGCTCCCCCCACCCCAATTGAAGGGGGGGAGGGAAATTTAAAGGGGGAAGGAGGAGGAGGAGGAGGAAAAAAAATTGGATTTATACCCCATGGCCCTTCACTACCCAAAGGAGTCTCAGAGGGGCTTACAAACTCCTTCCCCTTCCCCTCCCCACAACAGACTCCCTTGTGAGGTAAATGGGGCTGAGAGAGCTCTGAGAGAACTGCTCTTTCAAGGACAGCTCTGACAGAACTACGGCTTGCCCAAGGTCATCCAGCAGCTGTAAGTGGAGGAGCAGGGAATCAAACCCAGTTCTCCCAGATTAGAATCCGCGCACTTCACCATTACACCAAGAAGATGGAGAAGCAAGAAAATTCCCAGGCACATCAGAATGGGACAGGATGGCCACAAGGTGTGAGACGTAGAGGAAGGGCCTGAGCCCAGAGACCATTCCGCCCTTTCTGAGTGAACCGGCACTGCCATGGTCCATGACACCAGCCCATCAGTTTCTTTTGAGAAAATTTCTCACACAACTTTGACCAACTTGTGCATTTTTTTCCTAGAAAGGTTCACATGACAGGAAATTTATTTCTCATATTACAGAGCAGCAACTAATGAAAGACGGTCAAACTCTGAAGAGAGAGTATATTCCCCAAAGGGCAACACTATCTCTAAACGTCAGCAAAAGGATGTGGGGACACTCTGTTGACATAGAATCATAGAGTTGGGAGGGACCTCCAGGGTCATCTAGTCCAACCCCCTGCACATTGCAGGAAATTCACAACTACCCTGTTTCCCAGAAAATAGGTACTACCCAAAAAATAAGCCCTAGCAGGATTTCTATGCATTTGTGGTATAAGCCCTAGTGTGTCTTCTTGAGAAAAAATAAATATAAGACAGTGTCTTATTTTCGGGGAAACACGGTGCCTCCCCCTCACACCCCCCAGGAATCCATTCCACGCCCAGGAGATGACAAAAGAATCCCAGAATCCCCGGGCAAACTGGCCTGGAGAACAATTGCTTCCTGACCCCAAAGTGGTGATCAGCATTTCCCTGGATGTGTAAGAAAAGGCCACAAGAACGAAGTACCGATGCAGCCCTTCCTGCTCTCCCTTCTCACGATCTGCCTAAGTTCACAGAATCAGCGCTGCTGTCAGATGGCCATCTAGCCTCTGCTCAAAAACCTCCAAAGGAGGAGAGCCCGCCTCCTCCCGAGGAAGCCTGTTCCACTGAGGAACGGCTCTAAGTGTCAGGAAGTTCTTTCTAAAGTTTAACCGAAAACTCTTTGGAATTAATTTCAACAATCGGCTCTGGTCCGACCTTCTGGGGCAACAGAAAACAACTCCGTACCGTCCTCTCTATGACAGCCCTTCAAGTAGTTGGAGATGGTTATCGCATCACATATCTGTCTACTGCAAGACCTTCTGCTGCACAGAGGCGGCAATGTCCTCCCTTAACAAAAGCATCTACATTTATTTAAAGGGTTGCAGAGGTGATACCTTTTGCTTTTTATCTGTGCTCCGCTGGACTGGCCTTCGTAGTGGGAAGAGGTCCCACTTCCGCTAGTTCTTCCACCTTTTTCGCCATATCCTGCCGGATCGACCTTCCTGCTTTGTCGGTCCACAAGGGGTCTCTGACTGGAAAAGCTCCTCTTGGCCTGCTCCCTCTTCTCCCCCAAGCCGCCGCCGACAAGACTGCCGTCCAGCTGGGCGTCGCTCTCCGAGACGCCCTCGCGTCTCTCCCGCCTCTCGCTGAAGTCGCTGCTTTCGGAGGCTGTCTCCCACTCCTCGTTGGCGTGGTCGGACGAGTTCTGGTAGGGCAGTTCGGGAGATCTTCGGACGGAAGTGCCGTTCCGGTCCGTCACGTTCAGCTTTGCTCCCCTGGGCCACTGGCAAGCTAAGAGGTTGGTTCCGCCATCCTCGGGGCTCCACTGCCCAACAGACTCCCGCTCCTGCCTCAAGCGCCTGAACCTGGGGGGTTTGTCTTGGCGTGGCGGACGCCGTCGACGGAAGGGGCGGTTCTCGGTGTTTTCGGGGTCACCCCCGTAATCCTCCGGGAAGTAGTTCCTCTTGTCAATGGGATCCTCCTCAAAGGCCCGCCTGCTAAAGGAGTCTGGGGGCTTATAAGAGTCTTGGCCGTAGTCCCTGTCGGGCTGGCGCCTAACCCCAAAGGTGTCCAAGGGTGTGCCATGGCTATACTCCTGCCACGTGCTTCCCCCGCTCCTCCCTTGCCACTGCAGCGGTTCCTTGGAAACAAAGCCTCTTCGCCCATACCCGGAGTTGCTAAGCCTGGGTGGCAGCGAACGGCCAAACGCTCGTGGGCCCCTCGTCTTCGCATCCAAGCCGGCGTGGTCCTCCGAATAGATCTTATTGGACCGCCAGGAGTCCTGGAAATCTCCTTTCTTGAGATCGCCCTCCTCCCTTTCCGCGAGCGAGCCTTCGTTGCTGTTCTCAGAGCCCCGCTGACGGCGCCGTTTGGGGAGCTCTTCGTACTCCGAACCTTCGCTGTGGGTCTCGCTGGCGATCCTGCGCCTGGGCTTCCCGCGCGGAAACTCCTCCGGCTGGTTAAACTCCCTCAAGGCCCGCCCTCGGCTGCTTCTTTGGGCGCTGCTGACCACATTGTTGTTGCTGTTGTTGTAGGCTCCCCGGGTGCCACTGGCGGTGGTGCTGCCGCCGCCTCCTCCGCCACCGCAGCCGACCGCGCTGCCGCGGCCTCTGAACGTGAACTCTCTGAATCCTCGGCCACGGCCACGGCCCCTCCCGCCAAAAGCCTGCTCCTCGTCAATGAAGATCCAGTTGCTCCTTTTGGTGGGGGGAAGGTCGCCGGAGTCCCGTGCTTGATGCTTGCCCTCCCAGGCCTTCCCATTCTCCTCCTCCTCCTCCTCCTCCTCTTCCTGCTGCTGCTGCTCCTCGTCTTCCTGAGGTCTGTCGGCTTCTCGGACAGCAGCCCGAGATGAGCTCTTGTTGTCCAGCAAATGGTAGCGAGCGGACTGGAGCAAAGCTTCTGAATTGTCGTCGCCCACCTCGGTAGTCTTTTGAGGCGGGGCCTTCTCCTCAGCCGGGTGGGAGGCTTCTTCTACCTCCACCTTAACCTTCTCTAGCTCTTTCTCCTTTTCCTCAACTTTGAGAGCTTTCAGCACCGGCTTCTTTATCGGGCCAGATCTACGAGCCCTTCCCATTTGCTCCTGCTGCTGGTTGCTGCCGTTCCGGTTCTCGGGAGTCCATCCTGTCTCGGCAGGGGCTTGTTTGGTGGTGGCTCCTTCTTTCCTCCATGCCTCATCACTAAACGGCTGTTCGTCCCGGGACACCTCCTCCTCTGCAGAAGCCGTCCCATCTGTGGGTTTTGGATAATGGCTGACGTCCCAGCCATTGTACTCTGCTTTCTTATCAGCAGGGGGCAGGCTGGGCTCAAAGGGGGAATTCCTCAGGTTCATGTGGCGGGAGTCCGACATGCATGCGTCTGATGTGCTTTCCTGGCTCTGGAAGAGGCGGTCCTGGCTCATCCGCTGGGAGGAGGTGATGCAGCTGTCAAAGTTTGCTTGGGTCTTCTCATCAAAGGCATTTAAGTAGTCATCCCTGGACTCCTCAAAGAGATCTCGCTGGGTGTTCATGCTAGATGGCACTGAATAAGTGCTGTCATTCCTAAAAAATGACCCAAACAAGCTGTCAAGAAAGGGGCTCAGAGCCATGCAAGTTTTCTTTCTCTACCTGAATTCTAGATCTGCACTCTCAGCTGATTCCCTGGTTTATTCAAAAACTCACAAAACCACTGCACCATATGAATATGTAATTTTTAAATATCCGATTTTAATACGTCCTAGGCCATTTGGGGTTGCCTCAGCTTCTCATATAAAACAAAAATATCTGAAGGCGTGCTGCACGACAGACAAATGAAGCATAGGTAAGTGAGAAAGGTTGAAATCTAAATGCAATTTAATGACTTTTTTTAATTTACCGTTTGAAAATCGGATTACTTGGCATTCAATATGTAAAAAACAGAAAATACAAGCTTATCCTACATAAAGCACCCTTCTTCACAAGACAGCTAAAATTAGATTAACAAGCACATTTCAAGATTTACAAATAGGGTTGTGCACACACAAAAAATAGGCTTTTTACAGATTTGAGTCCACTGGACTGGAAAAATATCGGTATTTCCCGATATTCCCAAATCCCAAAATCGATATGATATTGGGATTTGGGTAAATAATCGGGAAACCTGAATTTATTCAGCATTTTAAAATGCATGCTCCCTTCACTTGCAGATATGTGCCACGGTGGGGGGGTGACTATGCCAGTGAATGGAAGGCATTTAAAAATGCTTTCCCTTCACTCATGGGAGTTGTACTGCCACGACAGCGTGCCTCCACGAGTGAAGGGAATGCTTTCTCCAAGCCACACCACTACAGTGGTGGTGGTGCGACTCGATGACATAGCTGGCCCAAATAAAAGCCGAATAATAACGGCTTCTATTCAGGCCAGCTATATCGGCAGCTGAAGCAGATTGTCTAATCTGCATTCGACTGAATAAATACCCGAAAAATACCGATAAGGTATTTCTTGGGTATTTGTTCGGTTTGGTTTGTACCGAACACACACCCCTATTTACAGACACAATTCAGGAGTGCCCTTTCCCCCAAATTTATTTTTGAGAATACAAAAGCATTTTGGTCAAATGGTCTCTAGAACAGCTTCAGCTCCACCATGCAGATGTTAGCCCCACCCTTTCATCTGCACAACCAGGGTCTCCTGGGGTCCCCACATTAGCTGCTTTGGAGCTGGCTTTTTTAACCTGTAGAAAAGGTGGTTCACCCATCCCAAGCCATCTTTCAATGTCTCAAGCTCTTTGCCCCTCCCACAATAAGCACTTCTCCAGCATGAGCAACTGACAGCCAGCCCAAGGCAAAAGTGCTCTCACCTGGCACGCAGTCCCTCCCCGGAAATGCCCTCTGTCTGCTTGGGGCGTGAGATGGGGCAAGTCTTGCTTTGCAAAGGGGTGAAACTCTCCTGACCCCATACTGGGGCACACTCCGCAGAAAAAACTTTCCTGTCCTGTTGGACTGAGGACTGGCAGCTCTGCTCTTCTGACTGACAGGCAGTCCCATTGATGGAGTCCTGTTGGATGACGGGCTTCATAATCCCTGTAGAGAGAGTGTAAACCAGGCGTAAGCAACGACTGAATGCAAAATACGGCCCCTGCTTAAAAAGTAACTGCTAACCAGGGACAGATGTGATCTGGTGGGTGGGGGAACGTGGCTCAGGACTAGCATTTTGCAGGCAGAAGGTCCCGGGTTCGATCTATTTAAAACATTTATTAGCTGCCTTTCTTCCTTATGGGCTCAAGGTGGCTTACAACATCGATAAGACACACAAAATAGAGACCAAAATTTCAACTCGCAACACAGTTCTTGCTGGCAAACTTAACCAAATGTGGTCCTGTGTGTAACCGTCTTCAGCTGCCTCCCCTGGGGAGGTTGTTCCATAACCATGGGGGCTGCCACTGAAAAGGCCCTCCATCGTCTACCCACCAAACAAGCTTCCCTGATTGACGGGACCGTCAGGAGGGCCTCACCCCTGTGATCTTTATTCCCGGGCAGGCAGGAACATATATGGGAGAAGATGGTTCTTCAGATACCCGATCCCAAGCCATGTGGGGCTTTAAATCCCTGGCATCTCTAGAAAAAACATCAGTAGTAACAAGTGCTGGGAAAGACATTCCCACTGCCTCAGGCTCTGAAGCAGGGGTGTCAAACATAAGGCCCGGGGGCCAGAACTGGCCCGCCCAGGGCTCTCATGCGGCCCGTGAGCAACTGATTGTTTATCTATTTAATTAATTGAATTTCTAGCCTGCCCTTCCAAACACAGCAGGGCTGGGTTACAACAGAAATGTACACCGTTAAGATAAAACGATTTTAAACACAGTTTATCCAATATTTTAAAAACATCTATAAAGCAGCAAATAGTGCAGAGGATGGCAAACAAAGACGGTTAGTAAGCGGCCCCAGAGGACATTCAGTACGTATGCGTACTGAAAATGTCGCCTTCTTCTTAAGCCGCTCTGAGACACCTTTGGGTAGTGAAGGGCGGGGTAGAAATCCAATCTCTTCTTCTTCTATTTATTTATTGAGGCGTTTATCCCACCCTTGTGCCAGAATTCCAAACGTGCCCACAGGCTCAAAAAGGCTGGGAGCCCTCTGGTCTAGAGGCTGCCGACTAGAAGGAGAAACCAAGAGGAACCGCCCAGCAAAACTAGGCTGAGTCAACGGAAAGAGTTAACGAGACCGGGAAGAGGGGAAAAATGCAAACCCTTACCTGATGGATGGAGGGCAGAAGGGTAGAAATCCACCGGGGGGCGCCCCTGGGCCACGCGAGGATCCATGTAAGAAGGCATCATCATCCAGCGGGGGTCGAAGCCCAGCATCTGCGGGTGGGGCGGGTAGAACGTTCGCTGCGGGTGGGAGGACGGAGGGTACACCTGGGGCTGCTGCCAGCTCGACATCTTGCTGTACAACTGGTCCTAGAGTGACAGAGAGAGAGAGAGAGAAAGGTCCAGACTGGCACCCGTGAGCATGGAGCACATCGACGACAGCGCAAGGAGAGCCTCCGAACTGTAAACTCCCCTCTGGCTGAAATGCAGGACAAGAAACACATGGGACAAGCACACAAATACACCCGGCTTCACGATCCACGGCGAGTATTCTCCTGCACAAGCCTCACTGAAACAAGCCCCCCCCCTTCCTGAGGCCCACCACCATCCATCCACAAGGGCTTCACTGTCTGGACCCTATTCCAGGCTGGGCGATGCTGCAAACGGCAGGGGCGGGGGCGGGGCGTGCCAGGCCCCAAAAGGATCAACCCCCTCAGAGTGCGCTCCCGCATGACTGCCTCTTCAACCTCCCCACTGCAAGGAAGACTGCTTTTAGAAGAGAAGAAGAAGAGATTGGATTTATACCCCACCCTTCACTACCCAAAGGTGTCTCAGAGCGGCTGACAAACTCCTTTCCCTTCCCCTCCCCACAACAGACACCCTGTGAGGTGGGTGGGGCTGAGAGAGCTCTGACACAAACTGCTCTTTTTCAAGAACAGCTGTGCCAGAGCTTGCGACTGACCCAAGGTCGCATCAGCAGGTGCAAGTGGAGGAGTGGGGAATCAAACCCGGTTCTCCCAGATTAGAGTCCGCGCACTCAACCACTACACCACTACAGCAAGCTCACCTGAAGGAGATTTTAAAAGGCCAACCTGGGGCCATTCCTGCAGTGGATCCGCCTGCAAAGAAGCCCACCTCCCCGTCACCCGTGTCCCTGACTGTGGCTCAATAACAGGAAGCATGCTGGGGTTGCCACCAGCCCTACCGGGGACTCCAAAGGAATGAGGACTGGTAGCCAGTGTTCCCTCTAAGCTGAGTTAGTGTGAGCTGGCTCACAGTTTTTTAGCCTCCGGCTTACACATTTTTTGTCTTGGCTCAGGAAGGATGGCTCCAGAGCAGTGTTCCCTCTAAGCTGAGTTAGTGTGAGCTGGCTCACAGTTTTTTAGCCTCCAGCTCACAGATTTTTGTCTTAGCTCAGGAAGGATGGCTCCAGAGCAAACTAGTTTATGCAGTAGCCAAATTCCTCACTCACAACTTTAATGCCCATAGCTCATAAAGTAGAATTTTTGCTCACAAGACTCCAAAACGTAGAGGGAGCATTGCTCCAGAGCAAACTGATTTATGCAACAGCCTAATCGCTTGCTCACAACGTTAATGCCAGTAGAATTTTTGCTCACAAGGCTCCACAGCTTAGAAGGAACATTGCCGGTAGCCCAACTCTGCTGTCACTCACAGTGTGTGAGAGCCGGTTTGGTGTAGTGGTTAGGAGCGCGGACTCCAATCCGGGAGAACCGGGTTTGATTCCCCACTCCTCCACATGCAGCTGCTGGTGTGACCTTGGGTCAGTCACAAGTTTTCTCAGAGCTGTTCTCTCAAGGTCAGTTCTCAAAAGAGCTCTCTCAGCCCCACCTGCCTCACAGGGCATCTGTTGTGGGGAGGGGGAGGGAAAGGAGGTTGTGAGCCGCTCTGAGACGCCTTCGGGTAGTGAAGGGCGGGAGTATAAATCCAATCTCCGCTTCTTCTTCAGTACCTTGCACCCCCCCCCCTCAGCTGTTGCTTTGGCATTGGATCGGAACCTCATACCTGCTGTTGTTGCTGTCGCTGGAACCGTGGCGGGAGTGATTTGGGGTACTTGCTGAATTCCTGGCCTGGAGACACCGCCTCTCGCAGCTCTTCCTCGCTGCTGCTCCGATGAGCCACTGATGCCACGGGGGTCTCTTCTTCCACATAACCAGACGTGGCTTCCTGGCTGTGAAAGTCAGGATTGGCTGGGGACGAGAGAGGGGAAGAAGAACAGATCTCAGCCTAAACTGACCGTCCACCGGCTCCTCGGTGGGATCGTGCAAACTGTCACCCTGGCTTAGAAAACATTCCTCTTCTCTGCTCCACTGTTAAAGGCAGGGCTCTTTTTGTAGAAAAAGCCCAGCAGGAACTCATTAGCATAATAGGCCACACCCAACAGTAGAAACTCATTAGCATATTAGGCTACACCCCATGTTACCAGAAGTGTGGTCATCCAGCCAACACCCACCTTTTGCTTCTTATTCTATTTACTTTGTTTATTGTCAAAACCCAGGGCTTTTTTTGTAGCAGGAACTTCTTTGCATGTTAGGCCACACACCCCTAATGTAGCCAATCCTAATGAGTTTCTGCCATCGGGTGTGGCCTATTATGCTAATTAGTTCCTGCTGGGCATGGCCAACGTGGGAGCCAGCCGGAACTCCGTTCCTGTGCGTTCCTCCCCCAAAATAGCCCTGGTTACAGGAATGTCTTCCCAAAACCTGCAAAGGACTTCAGGGAACCCACCATTCTGGGAAATTGACCGTTCAACACATTTGACACAGTTCTGCATTGGCATTGATTGAATTGTCTGCTGATTTTATTATTTTATTTATTAAATTAGACTTCTAAACCACCCTCCTCTGTAAAAACAGGGCTCAGGGCGGTGTACACCAATAAGAATGTTCATATAGTCATTTAAGAATTAAAAGAACAACAATATAACAAAAATACAATAACCAGCCTGATGATACTAAGACTACCAGTTGTGCCACTTTGTGCCAGTTTGGTGTAGTGGTAAGTGTGCGGACTCTAATCTGGGAGAACCGGGTTTGATTCCCCACTCCTCCTCTTGCACCTGGCTGGATGACCTTGGGCAAGCCGTAGTTCTGATAAGAGCTGTTCCTGAAAAAGAGCCGTTTCTGTCAAGAGCTCTCTCAGCCCTGCCTAACTCACAGGGTGTCTGTTGTGGGGAGGGGAAGGGAAAGGAGTTTGTAAGCCGCTCTGAGACTCCTTTGGGTAGTGAAGGGCCGGGTATAGGAGTGCCAGACAGGTGGGAAACCACCGCTGTCTTCAACCCAATGCCCGGTGGAACACCTCTGGCTTACAGGCCCTGCAGAACTGCATTAAATCCCGCAGGCCCAGATGTCATTTGGCAGTGGCATTTACCGCCGCAAGGCAAGCCCAGGTAAGAACAAGGACTCATGCAGAGACTCAAGCAGGCCAGTCTATTCTGTGGGCAGTTTGGGTTCCTGGGAACCTTTGGATTTTTAATTAAATTTACTTCTAGCCAGCACTCTAGGATTTCTCGGGCAATTGAACTCCATCCAACCCCCTTCCCACCAAGGAACTCAGGGGCAGCGTTTTATCCTCGCAACGCACCTGTGAGGTCGGTCCGGTTAAGTGAATGTGGCAAGCCCAAGATCAAACCCCTTCGTTTCAGAGCGGCCTGGGGATTTGAACCTGGGTGTCCTCAGTCTTGGTCTGGTGTTCTAACCATTGATCCCCACTGCCTCAGTGAAGCACGGCCATGACTGGTCTAAAGGGCTGGTCTGAAGAGACGTCCCAGCTGCTTTCTACAGTGACCTTCCTCTGGGCCAAGCTACTGACATCGAAGAGTGCCCCAACTAGCGCATCCCTACCTCTTCGGATCGCGTGGCTGTTCTCGGGAGCAGCATTCTTCTCTGGCCCGGAGGGTCTGGACTCTTCCGCCTCGGCATGCTTGGGGCCCTCTCCTCCTCCTCCTCCTTTCTGGGCCAACCGGCACTTCTGGTCCAGTTCTTTCAGTTTGGCAGCACAGGCCGCCAGGCGCTCCTCCCGGGCCCGCCGCTCCTCCTCCTCGCGCCGCCTCCTGGCCCGCTCCACAGCCTCCGACATCTCCGAGTGAATAAACTTCTGCCTCAAGGGAAGCTTCTCCTCCTTCTCCTCGGAAGACTGCTGCCTCAGGCATGCTAGTGGGGGCTTCTGGGAAAAGAGGCGGAAGCCAAATGAAGGGGAGGGAGGAAAGGCAAGGAGTTGTTTTTAAGAGGCAACCTCAAGACGTCTGCTTGGAAGAGAAAGAGAGGTGGCCAACTTGATTCGTTTTCAGACTTGTGGAACTCACTGCCTCAGGAAGTGACACTGGTACCTGGCATTTTTGGCCACCGTGTGACAGAGTGTTGGACTGGATGGGCCACTGGCCTGATCCAACATTGGCTTCTCTTATGTTCTTATGTGGTGGCAGCTACAAGCATGGACGGCTTCAAGAGGGAATTAGATAAGCATACAGAGCAGAGATACATCGGTGGCTCTTAGCCACTGATGTATAGAGAGGAACTCTCAGTCTGGGGCAAGTGATGCTCCGTCTTCTTGGTGCTTGGGGGTGGGGGTAACAGTGGGAGGGCTTCTAGTGTCCTGGCCCCAGTGGGAGGGCTTCTAGTGTCCTGGTATAGATAGGGGCTCTGGGGCAAGTGATGCTCTGTCTTCTTGGTGCTTGGGGGGGGGGTCAACAGTGGGAGGGCTTTTAATGTCCTGGCCCCACTGCTGGACCTCCTGATGGCACCTGGTATTTTTGGCCACCGTGTGACAGAGTGTTGGACTGGATGGGCCACTGGCCTGATCCAACATGGGCTTCTCTTATGCTCTTATGTACACTGACAACTATTATAGAGCAGTATGGGAAAGGTCCTGGACAAAATTCGTGGAGAATGAGTCCACCAGTGGTTACTAGCCGCGTTAGCAAAACGTTCACAAGTGGCATGGCTCTGAATTCCAGTTACTGGTGGGCAAGTAATGAGGAGACACTTATATCCAGAATTAAACTTTGTTGGGCTTCAAGGTGCCACTGGACTCAGACCTTGCCCTATTGTTTCAGACCCACACGGCTACCCAGATGAATCTATTTTCATGGGACTGGTTCAAGGTCAGGACAGGTTTTACGGCTTGCTTCACACATGAACGTGTGTTATACGTTCAGATGAGTACTGTCTACTCGAACTGGCAGCAGCTCTCCAAGGTCTTGGGCCTTTCACATCACCGACTGCCTGGTCCTTCTAACCAGAGACTGAACCCGGGACTGTCTGTGTGCCAAGCAGAGGCTCCACCGAGCCATAGCCCCTCCCCACAATGCCCCTTCTTTTGCCCTTCGCGGAGATGAAGAGAAAGCACCCGTTTAAGGAAGAGCCGACTGCTTAGGAAATGCCGAGTACCTGATAATCCGAAGGGGGGGCCCAGCCGTTCACCTTCCTCGACGGCGGCAGGCCTTCTTGCGCTTTTCGGATTGGCCGAGCCAAGCCAGTCGGGTCGCCCCAGTGCTTCCCTTCCTCTGGGAGGTGTTTGGCATCTGCGCTGTCCGCCGAGCTCAGGGAGAGCTGCCGCTGCCTCCGAAGGTCCCAGCTGTTCCTGCCGATTCAGGCACCTTGGATGCTCAGCAGTTCCAGCTGGGCTTCAAAAGGACCCATTCCCCCTCCCCACCAGGACAGGGGGTGGCCCGTCGCCAGCTCAGAGGGGCTGGGAGAGACCAGAAGGGGATAATTCCCCTGCTTAACTATAACATCTGAACTGCCAAGCTTTGTCAGTTCTAGCCCCGTGCTGGTGTGAGCAACCAAGCCCTGTCCTAGCTCATCGTCTACCCAGCGATTCGAAAGCTCCGGCAAGTAGATAAATTGGGGACCACCCGTAAGGGGGTGGGGCACACCACTGCCTTTGGGAAGGTGTTAGCTGCCGAGTG